TGCAGCTTCTCAATAGTTTGGAACAAGAACCATCATCAATCAGAGAGTCATTTTATCAAAACAACACCCAATAATAAAGCTGATGAATATTTTTTTCTCTGAATTTACTAGTTGGCTTTCTATCTTATATACACAGTCTAAAAGACAGGGGAATTGACTGAGAAAATCTGGGAATACAAACAGAAAATAGCGAGTCATTTTGGAATTATTTAGACATGAAAAACAGATCGGTAGCTTCTTCCTATCAGGCCAGATTAGTGTAGAGATATAAAAACTATGTGTGGATGATGTTATTGATAAATAAATAAGTTCAACATTTGGAAATTTAATACCTTTGTTCTTGTTCCTCCCTGCAAGAAACACCAAAATGAACTTGCTGAGCAGAAAAGCTTTGCAGTAAGCACATTCCTCATTTTACTAAATAGCCACTTCTGCTTTCACAAATCTTCTTATTCTTTCTATTCATGTCACTACAGAAAAATGATGCCAAGCTGTTTGTCATCAAGCAAGAGATATGCCATTTAGGTGACTTTATGATTTGATGATCACCAGAGACCTCCCCCCCACCCGCCCCCCAAAAAACTGTGAGGTCTGGAGTCTCTAGAGAGATCTGAGTCCTTGGATCTAATGTTCCTTTGCTGCTGCTGAAAGACAACACCTGACCTATCCTGTGCTGCTCCCAGCAGAAGTAACATTGAGCACTACAGCCTCTGGGATAGAGATTGAAACAATGGTTCCTAATAACTTTAAGAAATAGAAGCAACTATGTATACACTCTGACTTCCCATTGGCTCATATCCCTAGATAGAAGTGTCTTTAATGCTCAAACAAGTTGTCAATTAAAGCACTGAGTTTTATATTTATGAACATAAACATAAAAGTGAAGATCATGTGAATTATAACAATATACACATATAAGATGTGGGTTTATGAACACATCGAAAAATAGCCAAAGTATAATGGAAACCTTAAAGTAAAAACTGTTGTCACTATTGCTCAGAATTGTGGATAATATGCTAAACTCTACTGATTGACATTCATGCACAAACATATAGACAGTCAAATACAATGACTTTCCCACACACAAGGACATTCTTTGAAACTAATTGTTTTAGTAAATTTTTATTTTGGAAAATTTAGATTTGCAGAAGAGTAGGAATATAGTACAGAGAGTTCTTACACAGCAGGTTTCAGTTGCCCCTATTGTACTTGATTTTGCCATGCTACATTTTGTGATGATATATTTTCAAAACTAAGAAACAAACATTCCCATATTACTATCAAAGAAGCTTCAGACTTTATCCTTATCTCAACAGCTTTTCCATTAAAATCAGATCTATGTTCCAGTATTCAATCCAGGATCCCACATTACAGTTACTTATTAACTACTTAGGCTCCTCTGGTCTGACAGTTTTGCAGTTTTTCATGATCTTAAAGCCTTGAGAGGTATTGATCAGATATTTCATAATATGTCATTCAATTTGGGTTCATCTTATGCTTTTATCATGATTAGATTGAAAGTATAGTTTTTTGGAAAGATTGCATCAAAGGTAAAATTTCCTTCCCATCAAATCATATCAGGATTACAAAGTATAATGATCACAATATCTCTAATGATGTTAACATTGATCCCTTGATTAAGGTGGTGTTTGCCATGTTTCTTCACTAGTGAGTTACTGTTTTACCCTTTTCATACACTTTTCCTTAGAAGAAAGTCACTGCATCTAGCCCAATCAAACATATATTATTTGGAAATTTTCTGTAAGGACAATTTGTATCTTTGCCCTCGTTTGTCAATCATTCAAATATAACACTTTAAACTCATGAGTATTTATTTTATATTTTGGGTTATAATTCAATGCTACATTATTTATTTTGTTCCTCAAATTATTCCAGATTTCACAACAGGTAACTCTTTCAGGTTGGCACCTATCCTTTTAGCACACACATTCTTTTGTTTCTTTTTTTTGTTTGTTTTTATAGTTATTTATTTTCCAACAATGCAAAACCATCTGGATCCACCTTTATGTTTCTTGCACTTGCCGGAGAATGAGTCATTTCTCTGAGGACTCCAGATTCATTATATTGGAGAATGGTATTTAAAAGTCAAGACTTGGACAATGGGCAGGAATAAATATATTTTTAGCAAAATTAGTATCAATTATCTTGTGGAACCAACAAACACGTGCTGTTTTATTTATTTTCATAAGCACAAACATAAAAATATTAGAATTTACCTTATTTTGCTTATTTCCTTTGGAAAAAGATAGTATTTATTTTTCAGTATAATTTTAAACCTCCCTATGTTGTTGTGAAGCCATTTGACATGTTTATGAAAAAAATTGAGAGTTTCTTTTCATGATTTCACATCTTTTTTAATGGTAAAACCTGTGTTTAATAAAAGTGAATAACATTAATTGAGACTTATGTGTGGATTTCACATCTTTTAAAAACAATTCTTGTCACATCATGACTACTCATGTGGCTTTGGACAAATTACTTAACCTTTCTAATCCTGTCTACCTTTTAGGACTCCAGTGTGAATTCAGAGAGACTGCTGATATGGAAGTGCTCCCTAAATTATAGAATGCTAAATAAATATTCACAAGATTTTACAATAATACCATTATTAATTTTATTAGCAAACATCTTCATTAAAGGTGAGATTTTTGACTATTAAAACATGACACTATTATTTCTTCACAGATCAGTTATCTCCTATTATGGAGATGAATAAGTGCATAAATTATATAATGTAGACATCCCTGGCTTTCTTAAAACTCATACTTTGAAACTTGGAAATTACCTAGAATCCTGATGTTTAGCCTAAAGGCATCTCTAGACCTGAAAAATATTTGTGATGGCTATGCATTATGATCGATGATTGATTTCTGTTCTAATGAGTGGATCTGTCTGTTCTGATTATAAATAGTTAAGCCACTATGATTGCTATTTTTGACAGTCCCGGGGATCTCTGCACACAAAGTTTTTACGTAACCTCAATATTCACTTAAGTATCTCAGCGGAAGACAATGAGACATCACTAAACTCGGCCAAGAAGGAGGAAAAGAATACAAAGTAATAATATGTGTTCTTAAAACAGAAAAACTGGAAGCTATTTTGGATCCCTATAATGTATGCAGTAATTCAGTAGCATTGATTCTAAAAGTCTCCAGTTTTTCTGAACAGTCACTTTAAAGGACAACTATCTAATATAATCAGATTCATTTCTGTGAATTATGGGAAGTTTACATTTATTATTAATATTTAATAATAAGTACTATAAAATCAAAATTTTCTCCAAAAATAGTACAATCTAATGACATAATGCAGAAATATAAGACCACAGGAGGAAACTGTGGTCAAGACAAAAAACACTTGCAATTTTTTAAAAGAATAGTTGTACTAAATAACATGACCTTGTTATAACCTGTTAACATGATGTTGGCCCCAGGACAGTCCCAAATAAATGCTGATTCTTTCACTACTGCATTTACAAAATAAATGCTGTTCTATGTTGAAACTAAGAATCACATTAGATTTGTGCTAATATGGCAATAAATTTGACAAACTATATGGATACATCTCAGGAATTAGCATTTTCCAATAATAAAAAGAAGTAGAAATCAAGTACAAAATTACAGTACAAGAACCCATCTCCTGCTTAGAGGAAATATTTATGTCAAGCATCAGTATTTTTTCTGATTCAACTATTTTAACTCTATGAACAGGAACACTTGAGAAAAATCATTCTTCATGCATGAAAAATGTTATACCAAAGTCCTACACTATTTTAAAATGGGTTTTGTAAATTGATTATTCATTTGTTGATATATTATTATTAGTGAGCCTCTATAGCACACAAAGCAAAGGTTTGATATTACATAGTTCCTACCCTGAAGCAGCTTACAACATGAATTCAGAATCCCACCTCTCAACTCATCTTCTCTAATATCTCCTGTTTCCATTGCACGTATCTGAAAGTCATCTTTGAAATTTCCTTCTCATCTCCCACAGCCAATAAAAAAAAAAAAAGTTCTAATGTTTCGGCTTTGCAAAAATCTGTCAACATCATCAAAGGCTCTTCATCTCTCATTCCTCAACCTTAGTTTAAGTCCCCATAATCTTTCCTCTGCAGCCTTCAGGCTAAGAACCCTGGCAGAGAAACCAGATAGTTGGAATTTGATTCTTGGCTTTGCTCTTTGATGATGAGCAACCTTGGAAAATTGCCTATCTTCTGCTATAGTTTGAATATTTACATTACTCAAAATTCATGTTAAAACCAAATCACCAATATGATAGTATTAAGATGTAGGGTTTAGGGAAGTTATTAGGTCATGGGTGGAGCTTCATGAATGAGTTAGTGACTTCTGTGTTCTTACATGATGAAAGGGGCACTATTTATGAGCCAGAAAATTAGCCCTCAACAGATACCTTAATGTCGAACTTCTCAGTTTCCAAAATTGTGAAAAAAAATTTCTGATGTTTATAAGTCACCTACTTTATTGTGTTTTGCTAATAGCAGCCCAGATGGACTAATGTTCTTCAGTTTCCTCCCATGTAAAATTGTGAAAATAAAGTGGTCTACCTCATTTTGAGTATTTAATTAGCTACTATAGGGAAGGTACTTAGAAGAGAATCTGGAAATAAGTACTCAATAAATTTCAGAAAGCCTTCCATGTTGCAATAACCTATCAATGTTATATACATTCTTATATTTTTTAGTTATTGTTTTGTTTTGTTTTCAGTACAGCAAAAATATTTTTTTATCTTTTAATAAAATTCTGATTGTGTCAATATATTGTTCAACCCTTTCTATTATTCTCGTGATGAATCAAAATCTTTAGTACTGCCTACATGTCCCTGTATGGCCTGGCCTTTGTCTACATTTCTGGGTAATTTTCTTCAACATCACTGAGTTATTTTTGAATTAATAATGTCTAAAATCAACTTCCAAAAATCTCCAAAGATGGTAACCCAAAGATTGATTTATCACTCACATTACAAAGCAATTCTGGGTCAGCTGAATCTCTGAGACTCTTCTTCAGACCGTGAGGGGAAATGTGATTTTCTTCACATTTGGGTATGAAGGCCAAAGGATCAGTCTCTATAGGATGCATGCTTTCTATTAAGGCAAAGAATAGGAAAAAGAAGGTCCATAAAAGTCATGCCATTATGTTCAAAGATTTAGCTCATACCTGAAAATTGATATGTCCATTCATCCCCTACCATTCAAACAATATAATATAGCAGAACCCAAAGTCAATAGAACAGGGAGGCATCTGAGGACAGAAATGGAATAAATCACTGTGGGAAAAAAATAAATATATTATTTGTATTAGATAGATAAAAATTTATATATATATTTGCAGTAGGACATGTAGGCAGTACTAAAGATTTTGATTCATCACGAGAATAATAGAAAGGGTTGAACAATATATTGACACAATCAGAATTTTATTAAAAGATAAAAAAATATTTTTGCTGTACTGAAAACAAAACAATAACTAAAAAAATACAAGAATGTATATAACATTGATAGGTTATTGCAACACGGAAGGCTTTCTGAAATTTATTGAGTACTTATTTCCAGACTCTCTTCTAAGTACCTTCCCTATAGTAGCTAATTAATTTCCCTATTAAGTATATAGTAAATTGCTGTAAACCTACTTTCCTGTAGAACACTAGAACTTACTCCTCCTGTATAACTGTATTTCAAGACTTGCCATCCATTATCGCTGTGTCCTCCCTCCTGCCTGCACTTCCTAACCGCCAGCAAACATATCTTCCACGTATGAATGAGAACATTGAGCGTTTGTTGTTTTGTGCCTCGCTTTTGCACATAGCCATGTTCTCCAGCAAAATTATCCATGTATTTGATTTTCTAATAACATTTTACAATTTTCCTTAAAAGTATTTTTCAGAATAGTAAGTTCAAAAATAATTGTTTGCTTCTTTAATGTATTTCTCCCCATTCACAAATATAAATTTAAACAGAATTGGGGAAGAGAGGAAGCATTAAATCTCTTCTGAGAGATCCCTAGTGGAGGCATATTTGAATTATCTACCAATATGCTCAAGCCATGGAAATTAACTTCTTGATTAGTCAAAGACCATCAAAGACTTGAAGCACGTAAGTAAATTAATCCAGTTTTCATCCTCCACTTCTGATTTTCATTCTGGAAACACAGCCAAAAGGACTTTGTAATTGAAAATAAAAATTGAGATTAACTTGCAAAAAGTTACAGTTAACCGAGTAACAGGAGGTCTTCTTTGGAAAATCAAATATTTTTTAGAATAGCTTGTTCCCATTTTGTTTCTCTCATGATTCTGGAACACGTTTAGCATCACAAAGAAAATTAGAATAAAGCTTCAAATGTAAGTGTTATTTACAATGTGCTTTCTTTTTACATTGAAAAGTATCAGAGACCTTGCCATGGTTTATTTATTTACTTTTCCCTTAAAATGTGTATTTTTAAAACCTATTTTCCACTTACATATATCAAATGAGTTTCATTCCTGAGATCTGTGGGAACTGTTCTGGAATTGACAGCAGTTGTGGTTCCCTTTGACAACTAACCATGTCACTTAAAAGACTATTTTTAATTATGTAGCAAAGAGAAACCACTCTTCCTGGTTTTAATTCATTAATAATAATGAAATCTTATAGAACCTTTATTTTTAAAAACTTCTTTCTGGATAAGAAGGGCTGTTGTTCCCTGCCTGCCTACCTCACTTACAAAAATAATGATGACAGGGTTCCATTGAACACTGCGAATATAATGTACATAATGTTTAGTTCAATCTAAATGTGGTTATACCAAAGATCAGAGGAAATATAAGAAACTCACTCAACTCTCAGTGAGTTTCTCTTGGGGACTGCATAGCATAGTTGAAAGTAATTCCTCAGGAAAGAAGCCAAGAGCAGAGACTATGCTGTGTACACATGTTCTACAGATTCTTGTGTATATTAGTGCATATTTTATATTCACTGGTATGCAAAGAGGAATCTTTCAGACTTGGAGTATATGTGTGCAACCAATTCACACTAATAGTGATGAAAATTCTCCTTTATCTTTCATCCAGTTTACAGGGTTATTGCCTTCATCATGTCTCCATGATTCAAAAATCTTCAACAGCTCCGATGGTCTACAGGACTGAGTTTAAGCTCCAGAGTTTGTCACAATATTGCATCATTCTCCCCGTGCAAATTTATCCCCACATTTGCCTCATCAGAGATCTTTTTCCCCATCTAGATAAGGTCCTGGTTGATCCTCAAGTGCTCTGCTCTTTCTCAGCTTTCTTCGTGTTCTTTCCTTTACCCTTCATCAGTCCACATGGAACTCATCCCTCAAGGTTCACATAAGCCTACATGGATTTCTCACTACTTTGATATATAATACAGTTATCCTTTCTGTGGTCAATTTTGGCACTTCTTCATATACTATTTTGCAAAACTCATATCACTCAACTGATTCATATGCAAAGAGCACCATCCCCTGTCAGAATGCAATCTCAGGCATGGTAAGAACTCTGGTTTTTGGTTTTTGTTCTATCCTTATATACTTATTTGTAACTACTATTGGCAAAAAAAAAGTATTATGCACATAGTACCTCTGGAATTTATTTTTTATATATTTTTTTAGTTGTTAATGGACCTTTATATTATTTATTTATATGTGGTACTGAGAATCAAACCCAGTGCCTCGCACATGTTAGGCAAGCACTTTACTAGTGAGCCACAACCCTATCCCCTGCCTCTGGTATTTTTTTAAAAAGCATATACTAAAGCAAAGTTAATTATTTATAAGTATGTTATAAAGGAGTTTTTGAAAGCTGCAATTTTCCATTTTCTTCTTTCTTAATAAATTTTTATCTTGCAATATTTCTGAAATAAGCCTTATGGGTTACCTTGGGTAAGACAAACACATGTGAGAAGCAGGACTTATTTTTGAATGCATGCCTAGGGCCCGAGATATTCCTCCACTAATAAGGAAAAGAGGCATTACAGGGTTGATTTCATAACCCTTTCAGACAACTCTGTGACTAGCATAATAAATTTATATTCTCTGCAGCCATTCCTCATTGCAGGAAAAGGCAGCATGGAGGGCAGGGGAGAAGACAAGACATAATCCTATGCTAGATAAATTCCTTCCTGGTCTATTTCCTGCTACGTATGACAAAAATAAAATTTATTCTGAATACTCACAAACCATGTTCCTCAGGTCATTTATGCAATTTAGTCCCATGAACTGATGTTTAGGAGGCAATTCTAGAGTTGCTCTTCCCAGGAGTCTCTCTTCAGAAGTCCAGATACCCCTCTGGCGGCTTTCCATCACACTGGCTCTGAAATTCCAGCTGAAGTTGCTGTGCACTTTTCCCACTGATGGCAAGCTACAATGATCAATTTGATACTCGGAGCTCATACTTGGAGAGTAATATGTTGACAGAAGAGCTGAGAGTTCTTACATGGCTTGTCTTACAGAAGATTTTCCACCACCATTACTGAGACAACTATGGAGGAGGGTTATACCCAGAATTGTCTTCCAGAAAAAATAAGGGGCGCTCAGTTAAATGAAAATTTCATATAAATCTTGAATAGTTTTTTTTAACATATACATTCCAGATATTTCATAAGAGATACTTAAATAAAAAATCTACAACTACTTATCTAAAATTAAACTGGTCATCCAATTGTCAAAGTCTAGCAACCATGTGAACAGATGGTTAAAATGCTTTTACTATAGAAGAAGGGAATAATAGCATTTTCTATAGAACATTTTTAGGTACTTCATCAGAAACATAACTTTTACAAGTCTATCAAGTATTATAATTGATATTTTCCCTCTATAAATTGACATTTGACAAACCGTGAGCTGCATTGGAAGAAAATAAGAGAACACTACAAAAAAAAATAAATTTCTCTACTCTTTACCATTTCATCCCATAAACTGAGATCATGATTACCTTGAACTAGAGTAAATTCAGAAATGAGAAAAAAAATTGCTGTCAAATCCAACATTTATTTATAGGATATTGTGGAAAGAAGGGACCATCTCATTTTTTTTTTATCTGTAACAGAGACAACATACTTTATTACAAATAGGAAATAAGGCAGCTTCCCTAAGAGTCTCTGAGAGGCCACTCAGGAACATAATTCATGCAATTATCTTTTGCATCTAGCAGAAAAATATATCACACACATACTGTTTATAAATAATTGCCAATCTGGCCTAATCAACAATCTTTTGTAATAGAGTCTCTTGTTAAATATAGACAGGAATTCTCTTTCCATCCATTAAGTATTCTAGCTTCATTTTTAAAAGCATATATCATAGATCTGGTTGGGACAGTCAGAGAGAGAAAAGAGTATATGAATGAGCCTGAAAACTTATAATTAAATTTCACTCTGAGTGAGTTCCTTAATTCTGCTCATGCAATGATCAACAGCGTTAATGAGTAAAGGGATCCAACTCTCTTCTGGTTGAGGGGTCACATGCCTTGCTTTTGTAATTTCAAGTGCCTTTCTTAAAACAGTTACAAGTTTTGCAGAATTGATTTGCAAAGTCAGGTGGCACATAGGTGGATATATGGTCAGAGCCAAATCATCCACACTAGGGCAGATCTCAGAAATATCCACAATGTCATGCAGTTGAGCCAGCTGATCCTTCCCATTCTCTGTCACTAAGATCCGGATTTTCGTCAGGCAGGCTTTGGATGCTCTCACCAGTGCAAGGCATGGGATTATGAGCTCTTGATCTTCCTCAGACCAACATAAGTCTCACTTCATCATTGTGGTTGTCCTCCTCAGAATCATTCAAGAGGCCACAGTTAGGGTCACATTCTTCCACAACCTGTTCCATTTCTTCATGTGCATCCTTCACAAAATCCACATTCTTTGTCAGCATTAATAGGGCCGCAACTTTATTATCTCTTGGTATCTGAGGAACTTGCTGGCATGCAACCCAGACACTGTTGCAGGAAATAAGGTCACTGTTTTCAGGGCTCTGAGGTGGAGTGATGAGAAGCACTTCCTCAAGCTGAGCCATGCCTTCCACCATGTCCAAAGTGACGCTTTTTACCATCTTTCTCAAGGTTCCCCTGTTCCTTGGAAAGTGACTAGTGCACTGCAATAATTGCCTAATGGCAGCACAGACTTGTTCACGGATCTTTTGGGTTTCCTGTGGTCACAGTGATCCTGTGATCAGAATGGTGGCTTCCCCACTTAAACTGCTGCCTCATTGAGTCTTCTCCAGAACCTCTCCTGATTAAACTCCTCCGGGGTCTCCCCGGGTTCGCTGACAGGTGTAGTGTGGTGGTCCGAACCGCCACAAAAGGAAAAACTGAAGAGAGCGGAGCCAGCTCCTGCACTGGGGTCCTGCCCGCTTTGACCTGCCTGGGCTTTTCTCTACCCCAAGGTCACCACTGACCTCGCCACTCCCCACAGCGTCAGCTCACCCCGCACTCCAATCAGAAGCAACTGCAGCTGGGCCGCCAAGCGCTGAAGCTGTTTCAAAGGCAGAGCCAGAGTGAGGACTGAGGCTGTAGATGCAGCTTCCCAGGCCATCTCTGGGGACTATCTCATTTTTAAGCAAGAATACAAGGGCCACAGAAGCCACTCTGAATACTCTTGTTTCCAGCTAAGTCAGTCGTTTGTATATTGGCTCCCTCCCTCCCTTCCACATTCTTCAGTAATTTGACTTTATTTGTCAATCTCAGAGTACAAGCTGTATATCACAGAAGTCCAGGAAGCCCTACCCTGCTGCCTCAAATTAATATTGTTACATGATGTCACTCACTTGTTCCCATTATTTCTAACTGACAAAGATCTGCTCCTGAGTTTTCAGCATGGCTGTTTATCATCAGTGAATTAAACCCCAAGGACGGTAAAATGCATCATCCTATTTGGATCCTATTCCATAAAACCTGATGTCCTTAGTGATACAGGACTGTGACACTGGCTGCTTTTCCCCTGGCTATGTTGGGGTGACACTGGTAAAGAATGTTATGCCCTGATCCTCACAAAAAGTCCACTAAGTAGAGCAGCAAGGATATGTGACAGTTTCCATTTAGAAAGAGCCACATCATGGACAAGAAACATGTGGCCAGCAGAGATGCCCTAGTTTTGTATAACTTGGAAGATCCACGATGTCAATCCCATGGTTTAGAAAAAAATATTAAAGAGTTTACCTAGGACTATTTGATTGGCAAGTTGATGACTGATTTATGAATTAAATCAGGTCATCATGTAAGACACTCAATTGCTAAGTACATACTGGTTGCTGTGCTTGCTTGAAAATTAGGGAGATTCTCAAAATGAGAGCTGACTGGAAAGATCAAATGAAAATGAAGACTTAGTGGAATTTATTCTGGAAAATTCAAGCTAAATTGTGATTGGCTTTGTTTATACAGACTTAATTTTTCCTAATTTAAATGTATTAGTTTATTATGAATTTTACTTTGGAAGCATCTTAAAATAGTTTGAGTGTATTCTTTTTCTACTGATTCAATTCCATTAGCTGGATATTTTTTCCAGAACCAGTCCCATTTCTAAATTGAGAGTGACTTTTCTAAGTCTCAGCATTGTTCTAAAATTCAAAAGAGGGCTGCCATCTGGTGGGAAATACCAGAATTTACTTTGATTACAGTTGGGCTACATAAAAACCTACACATATTTTCTTTCTTTCTATTTTGATGGATTGACATCCTGTCAGCAGAAATCATTTCTATCACTTCAGAGAAAGAAATTTATTTTATGAAATTATGTAGTTAATCATCAATGAAGTCTCTCTTTTGCCATTAACATCAGGCAGGTGAAACTAAGTAAGGAGCCGTCATGATACAGCAAAGGGCTCTGTAAGTCAGCAGTGTAGTTAAGTAACCTAGAGAGAGGAGCTTGCAAAGTTTCACTTGATCAATTTTGGTAGTTGTCCATCCATATCAAGTCTAGCTCCTGCTAGAATTTATTTAATAGTATAAAATTATATCCTATCTCCTTCCCAAGAAACAGGATAAAGATGAAAAATTAATTACAAACTTTTAATTAATTATTGCTTACATTTCACTTTTTTTCCAATTGTAAAATATAGTTAATAACATCTGATTCAAAACAGGAGCAACTTAGTCTGAGTAACTTCCACATACTTATTCTCTAAGTGTCAAATACTAAATGTTAGGCTGCTAAAGCAAAACATTGCAGAAAGAATTATGTATTTCTTGTTAATTCAAGAAAAGAAAGAGGAAAACAAGAATATAAGAGAAAAATGAGGGAGCACAGCTGAGAGAAAATCAAAGAAAGAAATATCAATAGAGAGTATGTGAGCTAGAAAGAAAAAGAATATATGAAGAAGAAAAAGAAGGAAGGAAGGAAGGAGAGAACAGGATAGGACAAGAGAGAACAGGAGAAGAGAGGAGGGAGATCAGGAGGTAAGGAGAGGTTGAGAATAACAAGCCCCATGGTTGTTTAGAGACTTCATAAGAAATGTTCACATCTCTGCAGAACTAAAAGTGAGACAGCTTCTTTCTGAGGGTTGTTACTCCCTCAGTTGTTAAGTTTTAACAAGCTGAATGACCACTCTTCAGCTGTAGTATTTAATTGTCAGTGCTAGGAGATCAGTATAACAAGATTCAGATCCTACCTCCGTCATGTAGTCCTCAGGAAAATTCCTGAACTCTTTTATGTCTTAATTTCTCCAACTGGAAAGCAGAAGTACTGTAATGATAAAATTGATGGTGTCTGCATCAAAACGTCCAATTGAACTTAAAAGGAACAGTGTATGTGGAAGCACTAAACACAGTTTTGGACACACAATGATCAAATAATTAATGCTAACAAGATTATAAATTAGTCTTCCAACCTACAATAAAATATGTATCTCTTCTGCAAGCTAGGGTGTTTCCATTTCCTCTATCACCTGATATCTATTCCTTCAAGCTATAATTTTGTGTAAGAGCAACAGTTATGAGCAAGGAAGAGGTTCAGGTAGATTTCGGGGAATTCAAGGGAATCACCAAGAAAGAGAATAGCAATTGGCCCTCTTCACACACAAATACAGGCCCTAAAAGTAAAATTTCAAAATATTCCACCCTAATCACTTCCAGGCAAAGTTGTAGAAATATTGCTCTTTGGCTCTTGCTTATCTAGTCCAAACAGATAAGTGCTGGGCCTGGTATTCAGATTATAATTCTTTATGATCATTTGTGTTTTACTTTTATAGGATTGCATCAGCATATTAAAAAAATGCAATGTTTTCTGCCTAAATATCTTCCCTTCAGAATCTTTTCTCTTGAAAAAGGAGTAAGCAATACATCAAGCAGCATTTCAGACATTTAAACAGAGCTTAAATTTCTATTTCACTGAAATATTTAAACAGCTGAGTTTTATCAGCTCTAATAAACACAGCATCAATTTGAACCACTCCCACACCACATCACACCACTATTTTCATTCACTTCCCCTCATTATCTTCTGCACCTTTGCATTAATTTAATATTTGAAAAAATAATCAAATGTCAGATGGTAAGAAACTTTTCT